TCTCACTTGTATTGACTTAAAATCAAACAAAAGAGAAAGTGCAACTTTTTTCTCCATTTGTTTCCTGCGCAAAGTAATTCTACACGATTCGTAGAATCCTTTTGGTACCCGAGTATCACTGATATTGATCTTGGTCTTGTACAGTTGGCATATTCAATCTGCTTGAAACGTAGTAAGCTGTTTTAAATATTTTATCAGACAGAGCAAGCACACAAACTTTCGATTTTCATCATGATTCTTTGCTTGATTTGGCATCATAGCAGTTCACTAAATTTGACTTCACTGAATCAAACTCTGCTTTTTACAAAATTTGACCTAAATTTATATTTGATAACAATCCACTTAACATAGTAACACATATTATAAATTAAAAACTATTAAAATAAAGAAAATATTTACTTGATTTAATTGAGGTAATATTAAATTACAAGGAAATAATTCTTGAATAGTTCTTTCCTTACCAGGAAACAATTGTTTAAACTATTTACTTGTAAGGAAATTACATTATTGATTATTGTCACACTTATTAAACTAATGATACTTGTTACACGGATTGTTTAATTTTAAAACAACCCTTCAACCTTATTAGTTATTTAGTTAGAGTAATTTTCCTCCAACTGCCCTCCAAACCTTGTATCGGTCAGATTATTAGTTAACTTATTTAATTTTTTTAACTCAATTATCTTTGTCAATATAAAAATATTTGGTTTTTTCACGCTATGCATACATGGCCGTCAAAAGAGCCATGGCTTGCCCACTTTTTTTTTGCAAGGACCTTTTGTTTTAGAAATATAGGCAATTATTTTAGAAATTATGGATTTTATTTTAGAAATTGAGGAGTTAACCCCCTTCACTTTGAAGGACGTGTTGATACTATTAGTTCTATAAAATGAAAACTGTACAGGTACCGATAAAATAGTTATAACAAAAATAGGTGGTATTACATAGTAGAACACTCATGTAACCGTTATTTTAAAAATAGTGACCGAATTTCTAAGTAATCGGTAACGCTTTGAGGTATAAGGAGCAAAAAACTGACAAAACTTCAACTAAAACTCCAATAAATCCTACACCAGTCATCCAATCAGGCTGAAATTTTTGTCCAGAGTTTGGTGTGACTATTGGCTACATTTGCATCAATTTTTATCAAATTATGAGTGGTTCAAATTCTACAAGTGTTTTTTATTGCCGCACTATGAAGTCAAAATTTGACTTAATTTGAACATTCAAATTAAATTATTTTCCGCGGACAGAATTAAATGATTTCAAAATTTGCATCACAGGGTACCTTAATGTGTAACGCTAACTTTCTGTATAAGTGGCGTTCTTGGGACAGCTAGGTAGGCATTATAAGGATCCGTGCTAACCGTGTAAACTCGTGAATTAAGCGACATTTTGAACTGATCATGGGCAACGTTATGTTTAATAAAATAAATTAATTTAATAAAACTCAAGTTAGGCAAAAGGGAAGTCCGAATTTTATTTTCCATATTTGAAACCTTTTCTCTCCTTATTTATAACTTAAAATGCAAGTTATTAAAATGATGCACAGTCTAGTATAATAAAACTGGGAATGTCCATTGATATATTTTAATATATACTTGTTGTTACTAACTAATTTTAACTCCTGGTGGTAGTTAAACAATAAAACTTGATAAAAGTTTTACTCAGGGTGTATGTCAAAAAGGAAGTCCAAAGTTTGTTGAAACTAAAATAACCATTTTGATTTTTTTTAAACCAATGAAAGAAAAAATTTAAAAAAATAAAGTTGTATATAACAAAATAAAATAACGTCAATTCAAGTTTTTAATTAAGTTATTTAACTCAAAAGTTAGATTAACCTCCATCAAAATATTGTAGTTATTATTTTTTAACAATCACAAAGTTATGAAACCGATATACAATTATGTTTTCCGTTTTTTATTTATTTTTTCAACCGTTTCTGATAATTAACCATGCTTCGTTTTAAGAGCTACATATAGTAAGACTTTTTTCAACAAAATAATCAAGTTGAAAAACTTTAATTTAATTTTTTTGGGTACGTCTTACGATGTAACAGACATCCCCTAGACACACCCCTGTACAATGCTGTTCAATATTCCCTTTTGTATTTCTTGTCTTTATTTTACCAGCATTCAAGTGTTAATGGGCTTCTTTGATGTTTTCGGAAGTTGTTATAAGCTAATTATAAGCTAGGAGTTATATCCAATCCAATTGGCAGTTGTTTAACTAAAAATAAAACCTAAAAATCAGGTTATGTTTGCTCTGGTACAACATAAATCTAAATATTTAAAAATTAAAAAAGTTCGTGACAAAACTTTTTACCTCGTATTGAAGGTTTGATTTTCTTAATAACAAAATGTTTGTTTTTTTTTCATTTTTCTATTCCGCATAAGATATTATTTCTACCACTTATTAATAGTTTCCCTCTATTTTTTCTTGAAACTATCATTTTCATCTTTAACATCTATTTATTTTTTAATTTAAACATCAGTTATTAAAATCCAGGATACATAAAAAACTGAATAATTTTTTTTTTTTTTCATATAATGTTTAGAATACTCCATAGTATACGGACCATTATAATATTATTGTCAGCAGAAGCATATTGCACGTATTATAAATTTCAAAAATCGTTTTACTCACTCAAGGCCACTTTTATTTAACATGAATGTTTTTAATATATATCAAGTAAATGTTTATAATGTTCTTTGTTTTATGTTTAAATGTAAAACCAACTCTTCTCCAGCTTCCTTTTTTGATTTATATTCTTTAAAAGAAAAAAACAAATATTCTTTAAGAAATGATAATTTTATTAAACAACCAAAATTTCAAACAAACTTTGGTAAATTTTGCATTTCTTTTCGTGGAGCTTTTTTATGGAATCAAATAATTTTAAAAAATTTTGATTTTTCTCATGAATGGAATTATTATATGTTCAAAAGAAAACTAAAAAAAGTAATATTCTCAATTGAAAATATATTTATATACTTTTAATTTTACCCAGTTTTGTCAACACTCATTTATATTTTACTTTTATACAATATTGATTTAAAGTTTATGTCAGAAACTGTAGTTAAACATCATTATTTGAATTTTGTTAAAAGTTCCACTGACATTATTTGTACAGTAGGCATTTATTATTTACTTGTTTACTTTAATTTTTATTTTATTTCGTAATTTTGTAAATAATTTGTATTACGAACGGTATATACTTTTAATATTGAATTTAATTTTGTAATGAAAAAAAATATATATATATATATATATTATTATTAAAAAAAAACAAAAAAAAAAAAAAAATACAAAAAAAAAAAATACAAAAAAAATTTGATGTATGTGACTGGATGTATCTGCAAACATTGTATGTATGATACTTTTGGAAGTTAATCATCCTTTGACAGTGGTTTAGCATTTTTGTCGGCGAAAGCGTTAACGTAAATGCACCAACATTTGATAATTTTGGCTTCTCACACAATGACACCATCTAAATTCTTCTACACAATCTTTTGGACAATCTTGAAGTGCATTTGGATGTACCTAGTGCAATCATATTCTTATTATTTTCGTTTATTTATTAATTAATTAACAATTAAGATCAGTGTAACTGATAGATTTGAGTAACAAGAATCAGTGATCGAGTCAGATGCGAGACGTATTTATTTATTAAGAATACTATAATATTATTGCTTTCGCTTGAATCATCTGGTTCAGAAGAATTAGTATTTTAATTCCAGCCATAAAGACCATAACTTAAAAAAGTTAAAAACTTGTGTTTATTTATTTTTGTTTTTCCTAAAATCTAAACTAAGTTCAAAGTTCTTCATCAGCGGTTCTCGGTGACAAGACCTGTATGGTCTTCTTTGAGTATCCGCGTTCTTTATCTTAATTCTTTATTTTTTTTGTAACGATTTTTTTGCATGTAAATTTTTCTTATTATATATTAGTAAATATTGTATTAAATATTGTAATAAAAAACAAAAAAAAACAAAAAAAAACAAAAAATATTTTTAAAAAATGCAATTGTTTTTTGTTTTTTTTCCTTTTATTTTAACAACTTTTTATTTTTTTTATTTCCTTATATAATAAAATTGTACACAGGTTATCATATTATAAAAATGTAAAAAAAAACAAACTGAAACTTTACATTTTAAATAATAATGTAAACAAAAAGGGACTCGAAGAAGATACAAATGATACAATTATCAGGATAATCTTTTTATAGAGTGTATTTTCATGTGTATATATACACAGGTCAGAAATTTAAGGTTTAAGTTTACTATCCGAGTACCCCAAAAATGTTAACAAATATAATAAGTGGGACATCTGGACACTTCATTTTCATATTTAGAAAAATCTGGGAGGTATCACATTTTTAGAAAATTGACATCTAAACCCTGATAAAAAGTCATTATTTTCGTACTTAAAAAAACTAATTATACTGACAGAAAGTTGAAGTTTATTTAAAAAAATTTTCATATACCAACTCTTCAAGGTCTTTAATTTAATATTTATACATAAACATTATTAGAATACACAAAGTTGGTCAAAAAAACATTTTTTTATTGAAAATATTTCTTTTTGACTATGCATTTTTATTTTAATTTTATTAAAGATACCTAATATATTGAATCTATGGCTCCTCTGCTCTCTAAGGAGAAGAGAGAATACCATTTTAAAAGAAATCATATACTTTTTCAAAAGATCATTTGCTGTTGCTGCCTTGAAAAGATCAACAAATGCATTCCAGTTAATAATAATTTGGAAGGTTTGGTAAAAGTTTTCTGTAAGCCTGAGTTTTCACTTAAAGTATTTGCCTACCCTACAAGATTATGCCCAGGTTGCAAGAAAAACTTATATCTCTGTAAGGCTGGTAAAACTATTGCAGACAAAGTTACTTTAAAATGGAAAAATTCTGATTTGTCTTGCAAACCTCTAGAGGTTGCTCGATATTATGCAGTATATGCAGTCAAGGAAGAAATAAATTATTAAATAAAAGTATGAAAAAGGGAACTAGCTCAACACTGAAACTTTGCCAAATATGTTTCTGTGAAATTGCTAAAGGTAAACCCCACAAATGTTCCTCTTTAAAGAGTAGCACAAATCTTTCTGAGAGTATTTCTAAAATTTCTAAAAAAGTAAAAGAAGAAGAAGGGAAGAAGTAGCTTCTTCCCTTCTTAAAGAAATTTATTCTGATCAAGAGCGAAGTCTAGAAGCTCAAGCCATTCTCAGAACTGGTAAATAGCTTTTATGTACGTTCTTAAAATAACAATTTATATTACCTTATGGAGGTAAAAGTATTCATATTACACTCGGTACTCGGGAAAGTGACCAGAGAAAGATTCCTTGTAATGAAGTAGAAGTTTTGGTAAATACCTTAGGACTTAGTCAATTGCAGTCAAATGAAATGTTAAAAACTTTGAGGAGAAGTGGTGTAAAGTTTAAGTCAAACATGGAGAAAGCCCTGGATGAAAAAAGTAAACTACTTTCCAACTTTTATGTCACTGAATTATTAGACTTTCAAAAAAATGACTATGCTACAGTGAAGAGACACTTGGTATATATTGAAGATATTAAAACATTTCTGGATTTTGTAATAAAATATCGAGGGCAGGTTCCACAAAACACATTTGTAAAGGTTGGAATAGATTCAGGTATTTATATTTAATTTATTTAATTTATATTACTTATTATATTTTAATAATCGTCTTTTTGAAAACTTGTTTTTAAAAATATTATTTGTACATGTTTATATACAAATATGTATGTGTGTAAGTATATATATATTTATAGGTGGAGGATCACTGAAAGTTATAGTAAATCTGTTTGATCCAACCAAGGACAGGACAGAAGATAGCAGCTCCTTAGGATCATACTCAGGAGCAAATACGTCACTTGTTTTAGCTTATTGTAAAAGGATAAGTGAGAATCATTCTAACATGACAATGATTGTGGAAAGATTAAAGTTGCATGAATGCAAGTACTTATTGGCTTCTGACATGAAGTTAATCAACATATTGCTAGGAATTTCGGCGTGTTTGTTTTAAATAATTTTAAGATAATAAGACATATCATGGTAAAAACTATATTAGGAAAAGGTTTTTTTTACCCTACAATATATTTATAAATTGAATTATAATATAAAATTTTAGGCTCATGGAGGAAAGTATGCTTGTGCATGGTGTGAAGGTTCTTCAGAATTATTTTCTGGAGAGTTAAGAACATTTCAATCTTTGAATAGTTACTATGAACTGTATTCATCTGCAAGATCTCCGGTAAAAAGAATGAAAGAATATAAGGTATAAAGGAATAAATATATTGTAAATATTTTCAAAATTTATCATCCATTGTAATTTTATCATTTTAAAAAGGATAAAAAAAGTTTATTTCCATATATTTAGAATGTCATTAATCCTTGTCTGCTTAAGATAGAAGACAAATCCCTAAGTATAATAAGAGAGATTCCATTACCAGGACTTCACCTTCTGATGGAATTTGTTAACCATGTGGCAGAATTTGTAATGCAACTTTGGCCTGGATTTATAGATTGGGTCAAGAGCATTGGATGCCTTTGAAAAGGTTACCATGGAGGAACATTTGAAGGAAACACGTGTAGAGAGATACTTGAAAATTGCGACAAACTTGAGTTGATAATGCCTGTTGAACTGTATCCTCTCTTAGAAACAATGAGAAAATTTAATAAGGTTTTTCATAGTGTCTTTGGCTATAAACTTGACCCAAACTATTCAATTTTAATTGAAAGTTTTACACAAAGCTATAAGGATGCGCAAGACTATTGCCGAGAGGTAATTGCTGTTTTCTTTACTCTTTGTATTTAAAACCAAGTTATTGATAAACATATTTATAGTAAGCTTTTTTAGTTTTTAGGTAAACAGCTTACGCTTACTTGGAAAGTACATGCTGTAACAGCACATCTGGAAATATTTGTTGATTTGAGTGGCCTTTCCCTTGGGTAGTTTAATGAGCAGACATCTGAATCTTGCCATTCCAAGATGAAAAGTGTAATAAACAGGTTTGGAGTCTTGCAGTACAGCAACAAACATAAAAAAAGAAGCAAAAGAATTGCTGAAGTGTTCAGTTCAAATAATTTATAAGTTATTGAACATTAATTGTACATCAAAACATAAACATTATTGCAATCTTAAGTTAAAAAAATTTGTAAATTTATTCAAAAAGACATTAAAAATATATTAGTATAAACAGTTTTTGAAATATTTTAGTATTTATTATATTAATATTATTTATATATATTAGATTATTAGGCAACTATGCTTACAATACTAATATTTTACTAAATTACTTATCAATATGTTCTACATTACTAAACATACTATGTTCCTAATATAATTCAAGCATATCTAAACCTTTTTCACCAACTTAGATATATCTAAGAGCTGTCTAATGAAGTTGATGTGTAAATACAAAATTTAAGAGCATAAAAACTTAGAATATAAAGTTATTTTATGTTAATTTTACTGTTCCGTCAATATATTTAGTTTTTTTAAGTACGAAAATAATGACTTTTTCAGCAGATTTTTTATGTCGATTTTCTAAAAATGTGATACCTCCCAGATTTTTCTAAATATGAAAATGAAGTGTCCAGATGTCCCACTTACTATATTTGTTAACATTTTTGGGGTACTCGGATAGCAAACTTAAACCTTAAATTTCTGACCTGTGTATATATATATATATATATATATATATATATATATATATATATATATATATATATATATTATATATATATATATATATATATATATATATATATATATATATATATACATATATATATATATAAATATATATATATATATATATATATATATATATATATATATATATATATATATATATATATATATATATATATATATATAAGAATGTCCCAGCTGCTCCCAAACCCCCCTCAATTTGAGGGGGTTCCAAATTTTATAGGGCCATAACTTTTGAACGCTAAAATATTTTACTATGAAATTAAAAATTTATTAATGAATATAAGTCTAGTTGAAAATAGTACAGAAAATATTTCACCAACTTGTTGCTCTCACTTTTGGGGCAGAGGTGGTGTATATATATATATATATACACCACCATATATATATATACCACCACAGAGGTGGTGTATATATATATATATATATATATATATATATATATATATATATATATATATATATATGTATATATATATATGTATATATATATATATATATATATATATATATATATATATATATATATATATATATATATATATATATATATATATATATGTATATATATATACTGTAGTTAGTTGCACTTAGTTGCTTTATATAAAAGTGCAACATTTTTTCAATTTAGAGAAATAACTATGTAACTGTTTAGAGGCAACTTTCTTCAAGTTTTATTCATCACAGAGTTCATTATTTGTGCACGAAAAGTAATAAATTAATCAAAAGTATTAAAAAAAGTTGATTTCTTTCTGGACAAAACAAGTGCAACTCCACAAAATGTTGACCAAGCTGTATTTCGCTATCAGTATTTTGTGACGAATCTTTTGTTGTCGATAACAGCCTTGCATCTTCGAGGCATAGATTAAATCAGGTGATCAATGAAATGTTGTGGAATTGCTGCCCAGGCCTTTTGGTTTTGTTCAAACAGTTGATCCTTATTACGAACACCTTCACCATTAATTCTGCGGTTGACGATCTCCAACAGGTTCTCGATAAGGTTGAGATCCTAAGATTGAGACGGCCAATCTATCACCTATAGGTGGTTGTCTTGAAACCACTGCTTGACTACTTTTGCAGTGTATTTCGGATCGTTGTCTTGCTGAAAAACCCATTTTATTGGCATATTTCATTCAGCATAAGGTAACATAACATCTTTCAGGATATTTTTATACATGAAACGGTCCATTATTCCATTGATTTGATGTACTAGACCTAGACCGTTAGCAGAAAAACACCCCCAGACCATTACATTGCCTCCACCATGCTTCACGGTCTTATGGCAGTAACGTAAACTGAGGCGTTTTCCGGCCGGTCGACGTACACGGCAAATGCCATCGCTCCAAAGATGTTGAACTTCGATTAATCACTGAACAGAATAGTTTGCCATTTCTGCACATTCCAGTCAATATGAGATGTAGCAAACAGGAGTCTTTTCTTCTGGTTCTTTAGTGAAATCAGCGGTTTCTTTGCAGGGCGTCAAGAAAACAATCTGGCTTCAACAGCACGTCGTCTGATTGTTCGGTCCGATACAGGCAGCTCTAATTACTTTTGTATCTCGACTGATGATATCCAGGGATCCTTCTTGGATCCCTGGATATCATCAGTCATCAGACGGATCTGACGATCATAGAATCCTCTCTAGAAGTGGTAGAACGCGGTTTTCCACCTTTGTTATCTGCTGCCAACTTCCCCGTAGAATGATATTTGGAACATAGTCTTGATACGGTCCATTTTTTCACGCGATATTTATCACAAATACTTTTTTGCGACATTCCACTTACGTAATCGCCAATATTTTTCTTTCTTAGTTCCAATCCAAGACTGTCGGGAGTCATTTTTGCACTTGAAGTCATAAAAAAAATAAATAATTACGCTTCTCAAGACTTTACCGTGTTACAAGGCTTACCATATTACATTTACCTTGTGATGATACAATAATGCCCTTTGGAACGCAACGTCTTGGTTAGATATGGGCTGTATTGATGTAATGAAACACTTGTTGTATTTCACTTCTTGTATTGATGTTCTTCTATAAAACACTTTAATAAAACTCACTTTGATAAACTGTCTTCATAATACTGACTGATTGACTTCCATATACTGACTGAATTACATGTCAGTTTACATGTCTCTTATATAGTAAAATGAACCTGTGTGAACCTGTTCTGGAAGAATCTAGATGCTTCTTTTCGATGATTCTGGAAGCTACTGGATGCTTCTGAATGTTTCTGGATACTTCTGGATGCTTCTGGATGCTTCCAGATGCTTCTTCTGGAAATTTCTGGAAGCTTTTGCATGCTTCTGGAAACTTCTGGATACTTCCTTTAATTATTAAAAAACTTCCGTGACGTTGACACGGACCATACTTAAGAAAATGAAACAAACCAAAAAAGTTGCCGAAATTCTGCCTGTGTGCTTTCACCTATCAGCTGATTGCTCATGTCATGGCATGTTATGACTCCAGACTCCTGAACTGTTAACTGTGGTAGTATAGTTCATTTCGTTTTTAATACATGTAAAATTAGGAACACTTTTTAGCATTGTTCGATGTTGGTTGCAAGTGTTTTGTCCAATACTGTATATATATATATATATATATATATATATATATATATATATATATATATATATATATATATATATATATATATATATATATATATATATATATATATATATATATATATATATATATATATATATATATATATATATATATATATTTATATATATATATATATATATATATATATATATATATATATATATATATATATTATACCTATATATATATATATATATATATATATATATATATATATATATATATATATATATATATATATATATATATATATATATATATATATATATATATATATGTATATATATATATATATGTATATATATATATATATATATATATATATATATATATATATATATATATATATATATATATATATATATATATATATATATATATATATATATATATATATATATATATATATATATAGGGTGGGGCATAAAACACCAACACAAGTCAATTAAAAAAATACCATAATAGTTTTTCTGGTTCCTTTTGATATCTGTATTAAAAATATATAATTTTTTTTTATGGATACTCCTATGGTCGGTCCCAGTAGTCCGAAATTTTGAAACTACTTTTTGTAAATAATGAGGGGGGCTGGGTCACTTACAAATATTTCAAAGATATCTTTAAGGTTATTTTTGTAGCCTGATAAATTTTATTTAAGATTTATTTTGTTTTATTGCAAAAAATGAAATGAAACGGTCAGCCCTACCCATTTAAAGTTGTGTATATTTAGGAGGTGGGGGGGGGGGAGTAAAATTTTTTTCTTACAATTTTAAATAAATTTTTTTTTTTACATTTGTATTTATTTTTTAAAGAAAAGTTATTTTAAAGCTTTCAACCAAGATTTTTTTTTTGTTGTCTGAAATTTTAGACGATGATCTGCAACAACCAGTAAATTAGCTTGGTTATCTTCTTTGTTTCGGAAAGTTTCAATAAAGTCTTGACCAAGTTTAATTGCACGTTCTGCACTGTCATTTACAACAAGAAGACCAGTGATATAATTTTTAAATATTATATAACCTGAACATGTTTCCCAGTTTGATGAACTGATTTTCATCCATTCTATCTCATGTACTGTCATTTTAAGTAAATCAAAGAAAAACCAGCTTTCAGGACCAATAAAATCTTCAATTCTTTTTGTTATTTTTTTTTTCATTGTCAGTAAAAACTTCTGAACTTAGTTTTCCCATTTTATAACTGGTAGGCTTTGCTGTTTGAGCTAATTTAAGAGCTAATTTATGTAGCTGATCTACAGGTAAGCATTTATCAGCAAGACACATAACCACAAATCTTTCATTTAAATACCAATTGTGTTTTTCAAGTGACTTTAGTACGGCCTCTGCTGGTTTAAGACATAATTCAGAATATTGTATTATTTCATTATTGGCTTTTAGATCTAAAGAAGGTGCTATGGCAGGGATAGGAGCTTTAATAAACCATGGAACATAAAATAGTGCTGTAAATGAACCAATTTCATGAATCAGCTTTCCCTCTTGTAATGATATTATATCAGGACATAAGTTACTGAATTGTGGCTGTAAAATGTCGTATGTTAAATAATAAATGCCCTGGCATAAACCTGGCATGATGTGAAGCCATTGGAAATCTAAAGTGAAAATCTTTTACTTTGCCACCTAACCAAAGAACTGCTAACTATATAAAATACTTCTAGTCATTTCTTGGAAATATATCATTATCGAGGCAATTTTGAAGGAATGTTAATGATTCAGAAGCCTAATATAAAAAATAAAGAAAGTTTATTATTAAAACTTATAATCAAACAGATTAATCTATTTATGACAATCAAACCAACCTGCTTTTCCAAAAAAGATTTAATTTTTTTATGTAGATACTGTTCATCTTGGTCATTATCTAAAGTATTTAAATTTTTCATAGTGTCATCAAATTTCTCAGTAACCAACTCTTTCTGTTTTCTTATGGACTCTTTTATACTTTGAATTTTTTTTTTCATTTCTCTTTTTCTTTTATTTTTTACAATATTTTGTGAAATTTTATCTTTACCCAACATTTTCTGAACACGCGCTAATTTCTGGTCGTTAAGAAAATCTACATCCTCTCTTCTAGTTTTTAAATCTTTAGTTTTATCTTTCATAATAGTATGTTCACAATTGTTTTGACTTACATCAAATACTTCCTCTAGCATTCTTGAAAAAGTTTCTCTTTTTAAAACTAAATTTTTACTTAAACGGTTCCTGTGTTTGTTTAAATCTTTTCTCTTCTTTTCTAAGTCAACAATCTTGTCTCTAAAACAAAAGTAAACGAATGCATTAAAACTGTTGTAATTTATTATAAATATATAAAATGTTATGACTTTATAATTGTTACTTGTATAATATCAATTTTAAACTGGATAAAACTAAAAATTAAAAAGCATTTTAATATAATAAAAACCTGATATGCTTGTCAGTATTAACAAAAGGAATCTAAATTTTTACTTAAACGGTTCCTGTGTTTGTTTAAATCTTTTCTCTTCTTTTCTAAGTCAACAATCTTGTCTCTAAAACAAAAGTAAACGAATGCATTAAAACTGTTGTAATTTATTATAAATATATAAAATGTTATGACTTTATAATTGTTACTTGTATAATATCAATTTTAAACTGGATAAAACTAAAAATTAAAAAGCATTTTAATATAATAAAAACCTGATATGCTTGTCAGTATTAACAAAAGGAATTCCTGACTTAGGTGTTTTATGCCCCACCCTAATATATATATATATATATATATATATATATATATATATATATATATATATATATATATATATATATATATATATATATATATATATATATATATATATATATATATATATATATATATATATATATATATATATATATATATATATATATATATATATTTGCATAATCGGAATTAATTTAGCGTGAAAATGGAGCTAACATGTTCAAATTGTTGTTGGTCAGATTTTATACTTTATAAAATATATATATTTTAAGAAAATAACGATAGGGCTTTTGCAATTTTCATGTAACGTAAGTTAACAAAAACATGATAAAATTTTGTTTTTTCCAAAATTTAGTATAACGATACATTAAAATTTTGAATAACGATACTTAGTTAAAGCACATTTTTATTTTAAATTTGTGTAACGTAAATTAAAACTACATGCATTTTACTTACAATATGTTCAGTAACATATTTACTTACAATATATTTACTTACAATATGTTCAATTTGTAACAATATGAATTACATCAATTCGCGTTGGCTTGACACTGAAACTTTTTATATTAGGAGAATTTAGAAAAAAATCTAATATTATTTTATAAATGTTAACTAAAATTGTTTATATTATTATTTTCTTATTCGTTTATGTATACTTATTTTGGTTGACATATAAATATACATAAATAATTAAAAATAAGAATAATATAAATATTTGTATTTGCTTTTTCATAATATAGTTAGAACATTTTTATTTTTGTTTTAGTAAAACAAATTGTTTGTAAATGCAATTAAGTGGGGTCATTTATTAAGTAATATTTGTTACCCTATATTTGTTAATTCTTACCACTTCCCTCCTGTCACAAACAATCACATATACCTGAACCCCGATCCCTCCTAAACTGTGAAGCCGTTTTTACGACAAAAATATTTTAATAGAAAAAGATTTAAATGTAAATGTACTTTGCAGCATTTTAAAAGTTTGACCTAATGAAAATAAGACAATACGCATAAACGTAAGAAGTTTGAGTAAAAACTTCGACAAACCAAAGATTTTTTTATTTAAATGATTCAAAGAAGTATTAATAAAGTTGTAATACTGATATAATTAATTGAAGTTCCTCTTGGTCTTGCGGAAAAACTGTTTTCGATATGATAACATTCATAAATGTTATGAAAAATCACTTAGGAAGAGTGCCACCAGTTTTATAAAATTTCCTTTGTTATTTATTTTTAACAAATGAATTTAATACTTCTGCAATTCTTTTGCTACATAACTCTAACTCGTCCATAAATGTTGTCAATGATTTTTCTCAATTTTTAGACCCCCTCCTTCCTCCCTCCCCCTTTGTCAAACTCTGTCAGTTTTTGATGTCAGTTTTTGTACCTCTCTTCCCTAAAGTAACATTAAAAATATGTCTAAACACCATTGATTTTTTTCTGGTTAAATTATGCATTTATATAGTTGTAGATCTCAGCAAGATATATTATAGAACAGTTGATACCTCATCAAATAATAAACAAACTAATAAATATTTTATTCTATATCTATAATATAAATTCAATCACTCATCATCTTCCCATGAGTTGTTAAAGTGATCTTCAATAATAATGACAATTGTATTTTTAAAAATGACAAATGACTTTATGCGTTTGCTTTGAAGCACACTTTATAATCCGCTAGAGATCGAATAACGATTGTTAAATTTATATAAAAATTGTTGATATTTGTAAACAATTAGATTTTTAGTCAAATATTAATACATTAATAAAACGTTAGTAAATTTTTAATTTATTTTATGTCTCTGGGAAACTTGATGATGTGAAATGATAAGATTGAAAGACAAGACCCAATTGGCAAATCTTGTGAAACTTTTCAGTACCCCCTCCCCCCTATATTTACTAACATCATTTATGGATGGCCCCTAATAATAGATATAAAAAATCCACGATAATAATCGCTCAGTGACGTAAGTGATGTAACGTAAGTTAAATATGTAGTACAAAAAAAACAATATATTTTTTAAATTGATAAATATTTTGTAAAACATTTTAATACAAACCGCTTTACTGATTCGCAAAAATCTGATATAAAAGTTAAAGCAATTTTTATACCTTGTTTTTGAATTTTAAACAAATTTAGATTAAATTCTTCGTTTTCATTTCATACCAACCCCCAATTTTTTTGTAAACAAAAACATATTTTAACTACCACAAACATTTTATTCATTTAAATATATAGATAAATTTGAGAATTTTTTGTGTATTATTTGGCATGGACAAGCAATAGGAATACCGAGAATTAAATGTAAATACATCGACTGAGAATAAGGGTTTGGTCAGACTTTTAGTCATGATTTAAAGTCATAAAAGACAATAAAATTATCATTTTGTTAAAAAGTATTTAGTTTAACGGGATGGTTTTAACGTCGCGTAATCAAGTTATGTTCTTCCGCTCTATACAAATGGGGAAGGAGAACACTGTTAGAGGAACTCACGTATCACTCTAAGCCACTGTACATCCAAGACTGGACCTCCCCTCCCTTTGTCAATGAATTTTAGTTCATTAAGTCGGCAAATTTAGTTCTTTAAGATCAGAAAGTAGACCCAAAGACGTATTAATAAATGGACGTTTAACTCAATTTTTACACGCCAATGTATTGCGCGCTAGCAATTGTAAAGCTAAACAATAGGAAACATTTGCGTCACGTGGAAATACTTTTATATAATTTTAAAACTAATTAAATCTAAAATTAATAAAACTTTTTTATGTAAAGTATTGTGGTTAATTTATTTTACTAATTTGGTAAAAAATATTCTATATATTCAATCACCCTTGTATAACTCTTGTATAACTATATAATAAAAAGTTTTTTAATTAAAAGATTATTCTAGAATTCTACTTGATAGGAAATTTAAATTCCGAAAAATACCAAAACAAAGTTGTGAGACAAAAAGTTTAAATCTTGAAGAGATTAGCAAAATCCAAATGTAGATAGTAATGGCTGCCACCAATCTCTAGTTCAATGTATAAATGATCTATGATACGACCTACAACACAGAGAAAATTCTTTTTACTTTACAATATTCATTTTAGTATATTACATGTTTCATTTTTATAAAAATATTATTCTTGAAGTCAAAGCTTATTTGCAAAAAAATAATAGCTTATTTTTTTACAAATAAGCTATTATTAAACAAAGCTTTCAAATCAATTAAAATAAATACTATCTCATGAGACATTCTTAATTACATAAAATGCATTTATATTTCCCAAAAGTTAGTGTTTTACGGGTAAAGGCAAGTTTCCACTCATCCGTTTTTCAACGGGAACGGGATAGGAAAGAAAAAAATAATCACGTGAGCATGCGTAATAAAAGTTTTTATTTGTTAGAAAGAAAAACTGCACATGCTCACGTGATAATTTTTCCGTTCCCTTTTCCTTTCCCGTAGTAAAACGGATGAGTGGAAACTCACCTTAATAAAATGTTTACTAAAAGAAGTTTGCAAATCAAAAATGTCGGCTAAATGTCGGTTTATTTTGTGAAATTATTTCTAAAAACGACGCTAAAAAGTTCAACCCACATAGAATTCAGTAATTGGCGGCGACTCTGATCTACAGGGTGGTCCATAAGTCACTTTACATTTTAAAAATTAAATAACTTTTTTTAAACGACTGTATTTAATTAATTCTTTTTTTATTACAAAGTTTAGAGTCTGTAAGTTAGTTCTGACTTAGTTACGAAAGATAATATCTCTTAAATAGCCTCCATTCTCGTCTTCACAAAATCGAGCTCTTTTTAAACTATTCTCCACAACACTTCTTAACATCTGAGGTTATAGGGAAAGAATTTTCCTGTCGTATGTTTGCCTTAAGATCTTGAATAGTTTGGGGCTTATTTGCATACACTTTGTCTTTAAAATATCCCCAAAGCCAAAAGTCTGGTGCTGTCAAATCAGGAGAACATGGAGGCCATTCAAAATCGGAATTAAGAGAGATTATCCAATCCTGAAACATTTCAGTTAACAACTGCATTGCGGCTCTAGCAGTATGTGCAGTTGCTCCATCTTGTTGCCACCAATACCTTGCCATGTTTGCTAACTGAGGTTGAACAAAATTCGCTAGCATGTCTCGATATTTCTCAGCAATCACAGTATTTTCATTTACATCTTCAAAGAAGAAGGGCCCAATAACCCATACTGATGTTACTCCACACCATGTGGTGACTTTAACCGGGTGTAATGAACTGGCATGAACTTGGTGTGGATTTTCGGTGCCCCAGAAACTGTATTCAGTATTTTAAGGTGTACGTACTGAACGACCTCGTCCACTTCTAGTCCTATCACTTACAGAGCCATGCTCTTGAAAATGCGTCACTAAGTTTATTATTGCAGGCCTACTAGGAGGATGTCGAACATTAAAATGGCGCATATACGATCTTTGCGTTGCAACAATTGACCGTCCATGTTCAAAGTAAAATTCAATTATCTTCACTTGTTGTTCAGTTGTAAACTTATCCATACCAAAAATTTCCAAAGATTATATTTTCTAATTCTGAAAAGAGAATTAGAAATATATTAATAGAAAAAAAGTTATTTAATTTTTAAAATGTAAAGTGACTTATGGGCCACCCTGTATAACAATGCGTAAACGTCCATCTATTTATACATTCTTGGAAGGAATTATACGTTCTAATACAGTCAGCAAACTTCGACTTTTAGTACT